AATCCGCTTAGTACAGTCTAAATGCGTTTTTTTGAAAGAAGCTTTTCTGAAATTCTTTCAAAAAAGCTTCTTTCGAAAAAAGTGTGTAGTCTAGACATAGCCTCTGGGGCCAGTCCTCAAGAAAGTTGAGTCCATTGCCCAGATTATTTGTGCCCTTCAAAGTTCACTTGTGCCACCAAAACAGATATGTCAAACACACTCCTTATCTTGGAATGTCAAGGAATCTTTTAGATAACATAGGCTCAGGTCATTGAGTGCCTTGAAGATAAACTCTTATAATTGCACAGAAATACTGTGCTATATCACATTGCATAATGTGGTAACATGGTAAATGCAGACCTTTTGATGGTGATCACTCAGGCTATGTCTAGACTGCAGGCTTCTTTCGAAAGAGGCTCTTTCGAAAGCATCTTTCGAAAGAAGCTCTTTCGAAAGATCGCGTCTAGACTGCAGGCGGATCTTTCGAAAGAGAAATCCGCTTTTTCGAAAGAGAGCACCCAGCGAGTCTGGATGCTCTCTTTCGAAGACGGCCTCTTTACATTGAAGAACGCCTTCCTTCGAAAGAGGAACTTTCGAAGGAAGGCGTTCTTCCTCGTGAAACGAGGTTTACCGCCATCGAAAGAAAAGCCGCGTTCTTTCGAAATAATTTCGAAAGAACGCGGCTTGAGTCTGGATGCAGGGGAAGTTTTTTCGGGAAAAGGCTACTTTTCCCGAAAAAACCCCTGAGTCTGGACACGGCCTCAGTTATGTCATCCAATTAGCTCAGTCAGTATACAGAATTATTCCTTATAATTTCTAATTATTTAGGTTTTTTTATTTATTTTTACACATCTATAGTAGTTGAGCTTTCTCCCTTGGAAGACTATTGAGTCTAATATATATATATCTTTTTCATATTTCTCAGTTAAATCCCATTGCTCCTTACTCTACCACACCAAAAGAATTCTCTTACTTTTGCTCAGTAAATTCTAGGGACTTTAGATAGCAGCCAGTCAGATAAATAATAGCCAGAGCTCCAATTTATGTACTATTTTTAAAAAAAACACTCATATCTCCTTTCACATATACAGCAACACAGGCCTTTTGACCTTCACAGTATTTGATCCCAGATTTAATCATATTAAATTCTCAATTTTTTAAAACTGTGAATTAAATTGTATTGGTCTCTTTTATAAACAGTGCAAAAGTATATGATGTCTTTTTAAAGGTACTGAATGTCTTGAAGATGTGATGCCAATAATCTTGAAAAGGCTAATGGACTGTATTTGAAGTTTGTTTTTGAAGGCTCACTAAATTCTGTGCACATATTAGCTCATCCTTCTGGTATTTTAAAATTCAAATAGAACCTAGTTATAGACATGGCAGAACATACTTGAGTAAATTCCAAACCTGTTAAATATTCATGAGTTTAAAATACACATACAAACCTGTTCTTTTTAAAAGATTTTTGATAATGGCTCTTTATGGCTGTAATCCTGCACCATGATTATGAAGTGAATTCAGACTAGTGGGACTGTTAAAAACCAGAAAATCCCAGCTCATTATGAAAGAAGGACCAATACAGGAATTTAAACATGGATAAATATGAAAAGCAGGGGTGAGCTGAAAAGGGAAAGATCAGGAAATAGAAAATAGGTACAAGACCTGGAAGGAAAGTGATGGTATAGAGACAAAATGTATTGAATGTGACTGGAATAGTTACAAATGATAGTCTGAAGGAGAGGAAAGGCTTTTCTATGGAAAAAATATTATCCTATAAGCTGGCAAGAATGGCTTACAGTTATTACCACAGTATTTCAAATTTCTACTGTAGAATAATATTATAACTGAAATAAGGACAAGTGGGCCACAAATAACAAAAGTCGCAAATAATGGAAGGAATAAAAATGTTATGTAGATATACACCTGCTTGATTTTTAAATGCAACATTAGATATCTTCAATGAAATATGCCAAGTGTATATTGTAGTACCAATCCACCTGGTCAAATCAGGGTTGGTGTGCCATTGTGCTGCTGTACAAAAACAGCCTGAGAGAAAGAAAAGGAAGAGGCCCCATCAATAACTTTAGCTCAGTGATTAGGGAACATTGCATAACATGTAGGAGACTCCAGTTCCATTTCCTTTGTTTTGAATGAGAAGATAAAGTTCAGAAGATAAAAACAAAAGAAAAAATATGTTCACCTATTCAATGAAAAATATTTCCAAATATGTTATACTAATTCACTGACACCATCTTACAGGTGATATGCTTTTAGGTAATTGCAAATAAATGTATCTTTTAGTGATTTTATAATACATAAATACATAACATTACTGTACAATGATTCTAGGGTTTTTTAAAAGACAAAATCATTAATAAACTTTGTATTTTAATTCTGTTTTTGTTTTCAAGAAAAACTCTGCTTCTTTTTGTCTCTATTTTCTAGTGTCTTGTTACATGTGTGGCCATCTTTAGGATCTAATCTTTGGAAGATGTAGAGAAGTGGTGCACAACCCGTGAGTTGCAACCACCAAAGGGGTTGCGGATGTCTTCCGGGGGGTTGCAACACTTAGATGCGGCCGACTGGAGGCTGGGTGCATCCATGTGGCACTTAGATTCGGCCGGCCAGTGGCACGGGGGTCGCAGATCAAAAAAGGTTGGGCACCACTGCTGTAGAGCATCAAGCTCATTGCTGTGTAAAAGGAATAAATAACTATGGAAGTATCCATATTATCCAGCGTTGTTCCAAAGGTTTCACAGAGGAGTATTCTCCTTCCCATTCATAAAACTGTGTGATACCTAAACAAAGTAGACCTTTCAAGCATCATTGCCCTTTTTGTTCTCACAAGCCTGATGGATCTTAAATGAATAATTATGTAAACTTCCCTTATTAAATATTTGCACGTATAAGAAATTATGACAGTGAAATAAATGGAATTTTATATGAGGCCAGAGTTTTGCTTACCACAGCATCAACCTAGAATTTTTACATTAAATTAGGTAACATGATAAAATGATATTGTATGGCTTGAAGGCATGTATTAGATCTATGGGGATAGTAATCTACCACTCAAAATAATCTTATAAATATTTCCAAAAGTTGGTTTGTTTGTTTTTTTGTCCTGAAAGATCTCTGAAATGGCAAGAGCTAGAAACACCCAATTTTGCATGGAAACTATCGATTTCCTAATTTAAATAATAGGATTGGTTATGTCTCAAAATTGGTTCCTCCAGTTCCCGCAGAGCCCCAATTGGGCCCACTGATAATTCGCTTTTAGTAGTTCCTGATCATAGTAACACAAAATTTTGCACGGATACTATTGATTTCCTCACTTAAATAACTGGATTGGTTATATCTCAAAATTGGTTCCCCCAGAACCCCAATTGGGCCACTAATTTGCTTTTAGTAGCACCTGATCATAGGCTTTTCCTGGACTCCTCTGTTAAGCGTGTCACATAAACCGCAACTACGAGATCCTTTCCCTATGATAACAGAACAAATATTTCCAATAAAATGTTAAAATAATTTACATAGTTCATTCACCACACCTTTTGTTATCAAGAAACGAGTTAAATGTAAATGCGTTTTGTAAGCACATCACCAGCTATGTTAATTTCTTATAGTAATATATAAGAGAAAAGTATTTCCAATAAAATATGCTATGTTAATGTCATTGACGTAGTTCATTCATCACAGCTTTTACTATATTTCCCCTGGGCAACACCGGGTATTTCTGCTAGTAATAAATAAGGAAGAATTGGGTAAGTATTACATTACAAAATTACTGCTTTTTAACAGCATTAGCTAAACAAAGTAATATTTTTAAATATTTTATGGCTATTCAGTAACAAACTGATTGATAGAAGTGCTGAGCACCTGACTTCACTAAGAAATGTGGGTCTTAGCATTTCTAAAAATTAGATTCTGTATCAATTATATTAACATTAAAGATCCGAGGTGTGCTTCTCATCTTATTTATGCTAGTAAATAAGAAGAGCCATTATTGTATTACATTGCATCCACAGATCTCAATGCATTGTATACAGGAAGGGAATATCATTCTCCCTATTATTCCCAGCTGAGAAATGGCATAGACAGGTAAGTGACTTGCACAAGGTTACTTATCAGGCAGGTGACTGAATTTGGATTAGAACACAGTCTCCTGAATCCCAGCCTAGTTCTCAATTCAATCAACAACACTGTCTTCCTGATATACAATGTAGCTCATCACAGAAGGACTCTGAAGTCCTAAAATATCTTTTTTGTAAATCTAGGGCTGGGTTTGCAACCACTTATGACAAATTGTTCAAATTTAGAAGTCAGACATAAAGTGGTATAAACTAGATCCTCGTACATTAACTTAGACTCCCTGACCTAGAAATCATACACCTCCTTATACTTTCTTCTCCTCCGCTAGAAATCTGGGACTCTCCTTTGCAACACAGATGTACATAAATATAAATAGTTCTGACAAAGTCAGAGTGTAAAAGAAGTCAAAATCAGAGTAAAGGAACCAAATATACAACATCACCTCGGAAATTCTCCCACTATCTGAATCTATGTATAGCCAACAGAAAGCAATCTGAATATATAAAAGTGAAGTCAAAGTACTTTTAGTGTCCAGAGGTGTTGTCTTCCACTATTTTTCACAATCTTATGCTCCAGTGTTTAGTTACAATATTAATGAAAATGCAGACATGGTGAGACATACATACCATCATTTTACTCTGACTGCACCTGTATTTCTATCTTACGTTGTCTAGTTTAATATAATATGTCTGAGCTGCCTCTAGTCAGAACACAATGTAAATAAGCTGTCAAAGTTAATTGGACTATTCTGCAAAAAACAGCTTCATATTTTTTTAAAAATGTTTGTGGTGTGTGACAGAAAATAAAATATAAGTATTTTTTCCATACAAGCAGTACTGAAATCATTTTAAATGGAAACGTATTATTTCAGGGGGGAAAAAAATCAACAGGATCAGTTTCTTTTGATTTGAAAAAGCACAGAGGGTAGTTTACCTGCAGCTGTCAATATTGTTTCTTCCCACAGCATTAGAAAAGGTGAAAGGTCCCAGATTATTGATTTTGAGAACTTGTATACAGCCAGTGAAATTGTAGACAGGTTCAGGCACCTAGAGGGGGAAAAGTGGAAAACAAAACTCACATCTCTCATATTTGATATCTTTGTAGTTCACTTTAAAAAGAATCATGTTTCTGCTTAGGCTTTGTTATCCATATTGGGCCTCATCCTGAAAGTCTTACTCATGCCAAATTCCCAGTGCAGTCAATGGGTGTTCAGCCCATGCAAGGATTTTAAGATAGGACTCACACTGTAGTATAAGAGTATAGTATTCTAATTCAGTCCATAATGAATAAAGTGGGGATTTTTAAAAAATCAAATTATAACTTTACTGTACTTTAGTGGTAGTCAGTTTCTTGCTATGTTGTTTAGACATACAAGCAGGCTCCAAATATGGTGACCCATAAGTTATGTGAGTTTGTCCAACTCCTATCAGCTATTTATTGGTGGTGGGAACAGGAAATTTCACATTTTAAATGATCTGTTCCCCAGTTTTAAGATGTTCGATATCATTATTCATGCTGACTAGTGTCTAGGATCAGATTAAGAAAGGGGTCATTGTGTAATAGACAAAAGTAGTAAGTTTTCCCTACCGCACAGTGCTCAATCTAATAGGCAAGACAGATATAGGGTGAAAAGGATATAACTCAAGCAGAGCAGCCAACCTGATGGTAGCAAATATCACATGATCTTTTTTGTGGGGACTGAAAAGAAAGAAAAGTGAAGGGAGAGGAGACATGGAAGAGAAGGAGGACAGAGCAGAACAGGGTAAGGGGAGCAAGTGTGTATCAGTGTTCAGATGGGAGACTGCTAGGGAAGAAAGGGAAGAAGTAGGAAAAGTGGGGAGGAGGGACAGGCAACACTCTGGGTGCTGGTTCTTCCAGAAGTAGGGGTCTTCCATACACAGTACGAGGGGCTGAGGGGTGAACCTTTCAGGATTTTATTTTATGCCCATCCCCTGCACTCTGTATGGGCCACTTCTGAAACTGCTCTTAGTGATAGGAGTTTTTCACAGTTTTCTCTCTGCATTTATTCCCCAAGGCCACATGGAAAAGAGCAAAGGGAAAGAAGCACAATTTGGGTCCTTGTACCTCCAGAGAGCCTGCATGTGGTTCTTCACTGCTCAATTCTTTGTGTGAGTAGGGAGGAGGGGGGGACGAGGGGAAGGGGCAGCAGCAGGGAAGAGGCGGTGAGTAACTGCCAGAGCATTTCATTCCCTGTTATTTCTGTGCTTTGCATCATCATTTACTAACTATAGAGGACTAAATTATGTGGAGCTCATGCACTGAGGTATTCCAGGTGGTATTCACCCCACATTAGCACAGACAGTGATATTGTCACTGCTCCTATTTGGCATTTTGCCTTATTTAAAGAAGTGCAGATCATCTGCATTTCCTATTGAGTTCAATTGGAAGTCAGAGGCAGCAGTGAAATGCTTGATATCCTGAATTATGATTTTTTAAGTTCTGATTCTGATTTCCTGAGTCTTGATTTCCTAAGTTCTAAGAGCACAGTATGGTGCAGTATGGGGATTGGTGGTTCCAGAGAGCCGGGAGCTAGTGTGCGGGAAGAGGTATGAGGTCTGGCTTTGGGTGTGGTCTCTGGGTTGGATCTTTTGAAGAGGTGTTCCAGTTGAAAACCAGACATCAGATAACCCTAGTATGGATATGAGGCATTGGTCATCAATAAGAGTTGTGAGGTATGCAGAAACATTAACCCTAGTCTGCTGAAGATTTGAAGCCAAAATTCCTATTATCTCCTGTCTCCCATCCCAGGATAAGTTCTGACCAATAGTATTTCTATCTCCTTCTCCACCACCAATTAGCTGGATATGCACAGAGGCAAGGCAGGTGTGTTAGATGTGTATAATATGGAAGCTCTGCTTCTCTAGCCAGTGTCTGTGCAGGGTAAAACTAATGCATACCCTGGGCTGATTGGCTTTTCAGTTTTCATCCTTTAACTTGGCTCCCATATGCTTGGATTTATATATGTAATCCTTTTTAGATATTTAACAAATATATCACTTTACATTTAATAAGATACAGCGTATATTATAATACAAGTTTAATATGGACTGATATGGAGAGTTATATGCCATGTAACTGTAACTGGTGAGGTTGCTGATTAATTTGAAAGTTTTATCAATAGTGGTAAGATTGCATTTTCTATATAATTTTTCTCTTCTTAACCTTCTATATTGTTTCATTGACTCTTTGACTACCATTGTTCCAATATCACCTCAGTGGTGGTATTTCAAATGAAATTCTCATTATTTGTACTATAAAAGAGAAAACAAGAGACACTGATAAAACAGTCAAAGGTCAAATACAATACAGCTATAACATTTACATCAGCTACTGTCTCTACTTAAGCTCTTTCAGCATGGATAATGTCAAGTTAGTGCAGGCAAAATCATCACCATAGCAACCTACAATCTATGTTGCAGACTGAAGAGCAAATTAACAACTCCGTTTGGGAATAAAAAAATGCATTTTTCCAAAATTGTATTTTTTGTGAATACTTTATAGCACAATTGCCAGCAAACAGAAATATGCTGAGTAGGTTCTTGATTAGTTCTCTTAGATTTCTGATCACTCTATTTTAGTGTAATGCTTTCTTCTTTGTTACAAATAGAATAATTATGAACCGCTTCTTCTTTTCCCTTAGCACAACTACATCACAAACATTTCTGTCAAAAAACACCCACATGTTGAGTGCTAAGCCAAATGAACTGCTGATATATTTCCAGAGATGTTCATGAATAACAGCAGTTAATCAGAGATTCAAAAACAAAAACAAAAACAAACTGACAAACAAACAAAAAAGGATGGCTTTGACTCTTTTGTATTAGAGAGATTGGTTTTCTGTATCAGTTAGCAGAGAGATTATTGGTCTTTACACTTCATAAATATTTGAATTTTTTTGAGTTTTGGAATACATATATACTGACATGGTAGAAGTTATCACCTGCAAATGATAGAGCTACAGTAGATCCCATTGTATGAATTCAACTAAATCAACTAGACATCAACTACAGAGATGTTTTACAATGCAGAAATGAACCTTAAGCCACCACAAGCAACCCTAAGCAATACCCTGACAAAAACACTGTAAATATGGGTAATAATATGGTAGGTAAAAGCTGACAGATTATAAATACTCGAGTGCCTCCGAGGCACAGGGTACACTAACACAATCCTCTTCTCATGCCTGGTGCCCTTTGTGGGCTGCCTGTTGACCATGGAGGGTCTTCAATAGTTTGAACCTTCAGCCAGGTCAGAAAATTGAAATAAACTCCTTCTGAGGTAATAAAGTGTCCAATAAGGGTTTATTTACCTCATTACATAACACATAAACTAGGGCATTACACAATGAAATCAATATGCAGCAAGTTTAAAACAAAGAAAATGCATACAATATACAATCAGGCTATGGAGCACATTTCTGGGGGATTTTGTGAAAGCCAAAAGAATAACTAGGTTAAAAAAAGTAAGTTCATAGAGGACAGGTCACTCAATGGCTATTAGCTATAATGGTCAGGGTATTCCTAAACCTTTCATTGCCAGAGTCTGGTATTGGACAACAGGGGATGGACTGCTTAATAATAACCCTGTTCTGTCCCTTCCCTTTAAAGCATCTGGAAGCAATCACAGTCAGAGGACAGGATACTAGGCTAGACAGACAATTGGACTGTGTTGTTTCCAAAAGACTACTCCAGAGAGTCCTCTCTTAGGGTATGTCTACACTACCACCCTAGTTTGAACTAGGGTGGTAATGTAGGCAACCGGAGTTGCAAATGAAGCCCAGGATTTGAATTTCCCGGGCTTCATTTGCATCTTGCCGGGCGGCGCCATTTTTAAATGTCTGCTAGTGCGGACTCCGTGCCGCGCGGCTACATGCGGCACGGACTAGGTAGTTCGGACTAGGCCTCCACGAGGAGTAACGGTAGTTCGGAATAGGAAGCCTAGTCCGAACTACCTAGTCCGTGCTGCGTGTAGCCGCGCGGCACAGAGTCCGCACTAGTGGACATTTTAAAATGGCGCCGCTCGGCAAGATGCAAGCTCCATACTTAAACAGGAACATCTGTGCTGCTATTTTTAGCCCTACACCGTGAACTCCAATCAGTTTACGTAACATAACAGTAAAAATATCTCAGTTCCACATTATGTGACCAATGAGGCTATAACTGGGTAAATAAATTACAGTTTCCTGATTTGCCATTGTAGACAAAATCTGATTTGGGAAGCCAGAGAGAGGTGGAATGGATAGCCACATATAGTCCATAGAATTTCTGGTATACTTTCATGCATCTGTCTCATTCAAACATGGATTTCAGATTGTGCCCAATTGTATTAGTACTGGTTAAATATTCCCTTAAATGCTGTGCAACAAAGCTAGCCTCCTCTTAGACACTATGCAGATTTTGCAGTATTCTCCACTTTTATGTATTGTCACCGAGGTGAAACATATGAGTTTGCAGTAAGTTAGATGGGCGAGTATTTTTTTTTCTTATATGAACATTCCTTACAGAGATGTAGGAATTATTCTTGAGTATGGTCCTCAGGTGCCATTTGAACTTTTATGCCAATCTAGAATGTCTTTCCTTTTAACTATGCTGCCTTCCCTTATTTCCCTCTATAGGCAACAGAGTTATAAAAACCTATTTCTTCCATAGTAACAAAAGGAAATCTGAATTTAATTTTCTTGTTAAGGTCACTGAGTGGACTATTTATTTACTCTGCCACAGCTGACTTTTCCTTTCCTTTTAAAACATTTCATCCTAAGTGAATAAGACAGAGTAAGTTTCAGTGCTGGCTTTGTCTCATCCTACGCATTTACTGAGGGCAAAGTGCAGTTGGCTTCAAGCATCCAGATCATACAACCATGAGTTCATGCACTGTAAAGTATGAAGCAATTAAAATCCTGTTGAGGAAAATACTGCAATAAAACCAGGGTTGAAAAGATTACATTTGGACAGGGGCAATCATCATTTATGCACAGCAGGGGATTCAGCAATCTTTTTTTTTCTTTTTTAACTTGAGCTCGGAGTTC